CCCAATATCTAGCCCCTACTCTGCCAAAATACCACTTTGACTAACTAAACTAAGTACCTCAACCCACACGGTATATAACAAAGTTATTTGGAGGGGGGAAATAAAGCCAATATCGATATTAATACAGTACAATTGCGGTGTAAATCAAAAGAAACCCCATTCTTAAAAAATTCTGCATTAAATATCAAAAGGCACATCCAAGTCATCATGAACACAAAAGTTCTGCGAATGATCAAATCGGAATACATTAAAAAAACGCCATCAGATATTTGCAGTGAAATTTGTTTGAATGAATAGAGCCCGCTCTTTAGGTTATTCTAGATCAATGTACAATACCTTCATCTGCATCATATTAAAACACACATCATATTACTATATATATGTATACTATAATATATATATATATACTATATATATAATATATATAATATATAGTATATCTACATATATATGTACTATACATATACCAATAGTATATATATATATATATATATATATATATATATATATATATATATATATATATTATATATTATATATATACTAGGGGTGCAACGATACTCGTATCGATATTGAACCGTTCGATACAGTGCTTTCGGTTCGGTACGCATATGTATGAACAATACAAAATTTTTAATTTATTTTATCAACTTTCCTTCTGACGATGCTGTCTGTGTTGAGCGCTCAGTGGATCTGCCCTCGACAGTGCAGCCTAGGCGGAGTAGTAGAACGCAGATTCACTGAGCGCAGGGCAAGCTAGGAGACAGAAGTTAAGCTCTCCTTGCAACATGGCAAATTGAACCTCCCCCACCCTCATTCAGATCTGGCGTTTGGAACTATTTTGGTTTTCATGTGACGTATGACCCTGAAGGTAAGCGCGTCATGGACTAAAGTAAAACAGTATGTTGGATGTGCCATGCAATGCTCAATTTGGTGTGACTAGTGTGTTAGCGCAGTTAGCTCGTGTGTTGACGCCGTCCACAGCACTCGTTAGGAAATGTCATTAAGTCATTCAACGAGATTAGCCTGACAGCAACTAAGTGGTAAAACACAAAAATATGACTGCAGCATAAAAAGATATAACAGGAAAAAACACAAAAACAAAAGCAGACAAAAACGAACAAGCATGCCTGCAAGCATATTTCCCGAGTCATTAGACAGCCTACAAAAAAAAAAAAAAAGGGACTGATATGTTAATATGCTGCTGAGAATATAGGCCATAAGAGACGTATCAGTAAAGCTTATATTTTGGAAGGAACACATCTACACCAACACTACAATTACAAACTGATATCTCAAGTAGGGAGCAAAAATCGGAATCACAAGGCTAAAACGAAATAACACATCACTCGACCATAGCCCCGTCCGGCTAATCAGATTAAAGGAAAGGAAAAAATATTATAAATGGTTGCTTTTGGAAATGTAGCTGGGTAATTATGTCATTGGCATCGGTGAGCCACTGTCAATATGTGACATATTGAAATCGCGTTTGAATTTGCGCTTGTTTTTTTGCTTTCACTTTGCAATCGTGCAAACTGTGTATAGAGAGCGACAGCACTGATCTGTGAGTGATGATAATTTGTGCACCAATTCCTCTGACATCGTCTTATCAATCGTTAGCTTACTATGCAAACATGACAAGTGAAATCTCCCGCAGCAAGCTTAAACATGTGAGAGGTTGATCGCGCAGAGAATCGCTGAGCGTTATGTGAGTGCGTGTGTAAAAGCAGCAGGATATATATTGTAGCGGGTCAGGGCTGTTCGGGGTTCTGTTTGTACAGTTATGTTTTGTTTATGTTGCCATAGTGACGGGTGACGCCCTCTCGCTGCGACGGTGTGTTGTTGTTGTTGCTGTGCGGTTGCCGCGCTGAGCAGTTAGCTAGCGGCAGTGTTCTTCTGCAGATGTCAATAAACGGCTGTGCTCCCTGGCTAGCTCACGGGAAGCAAGACCAAACGACACCTCCGTCTCCTCGTTGTCTGAGCTCGCCACATTGGTGTCAGAAGTGGGATGATGGTGGCACCCCATGTTCTGACCCGAGTGACTTTTCCCCCGCCGGTCGTGACCGGCCGGTGCGCCAAAAGAAGGCACCTGGACATTTGCAGGACTTTGTGTGGGGTAATGGGGTCGTCGGGGACGACTGACCCCTTAGGTGGGGGCTATGTAGCGGGTCAGGGCTGTTCGGGGTTCTGTTTGTACAGTTATGTTTTGTTTATGTTGCCATAGTGACGGGTGACGCCCTCTCGCTGCGACGGTGTGTCCTTCCGGGGTCAGAGGGCGCCCTGTGTGTGTTGTTGTTGTTGCTGTGCTGTTGCCGCGCTGAGCAGTTAGCTAGCGGCAGTGTTCTTCTGCAGATGTCAATAAACGGCTGTGCTCCCTGGCTAGCTCACGGGAAGCAAGACCAAACGACACCTCCGTCTCCTCCTTGTCTGAGCTCGCCACATTGGTGTCAGAAGTGGGATGATGGTGGCACCCCATGTTCTGACCCGAGTGACTTTTCCCCCGCCGGTCGTGACCGGCCGGTGCGCCAAAAGAAGGCACCTGGACATTTGCAGGACTTTGTGTGGGGTAATGGGGTCGTCGGGGACGACTGACCCCTTAGGTGGGGGCTATGTAGCGGGTCAGGGCTGTTCGGGGTTCTGTTTGTACAGTTATGTTTTGTTTATGTTGCCATAGTGACGGGTGACGCCTTCTCGCTGCGACGGTGTGTCCTTCCGGGGTCAGAGGGCGCCCTGTGTGTTGTTGTTGTTGCTGTGCGGTTGCCGCGCTGAGCAGTTAGCTAGCGGCAGTGTTCTTCTGCAGATGTCAATAAACGGCTGTGCTCCCTGGCTAGCTCACGGGAAGCAAGACCAAACGACACCTCCGTCTCCTCCTTGTCTGAGCTCGCCACAATATTTTAGTTCTGCTGAGCCAAATAAGACAGGTCAGGGTGAAGAAGTGACAGCCAAAGAAAAGCTTACCACAAAACGGAAAAGTTATGACAAATCAGACTATAAGGCAAAAAGAAAGTGCAGCTTTATGGTTTCATGGACAAAGAATTTCTGTGGCTGCAATATGACTGAGCTAAATAACCAGGGCTGCACATAAGTGGTCCGCAGGTGCGCATTCGCTGTCAAAATAAAAAACGCACAAGAAAGAAGTTGCAACGCGTGTTTGCATACATAAGATTTTCTGGAGGAGGACAGACATTTGTTTAGAACTCTTAAAGATGTCGAAGAAGCTCCTTTAAGCAATTACTTTGGTGTTCCTCCACCTCCAAAGAAATGTCAGAAGGAGTCCGAACCACAAAAGAAGCACGTATTCTCGGAAAAGTAGTTGCAGGAGGTGAGCTGGCTTCAAACAAATGATGAACGCACAGAGATGTGGTGCGGAATGTGCCGTGAAAATTTAATAAATGACAAATTAAAAAGGCATGAACATTTTTTTTTGTATCGAAAAAATATCGAACCGTGACACCAAAGTATCGAACCGAACCGTGAATTTTGTGTATCGTTGCACCCCAATATATATTCATATTATCATAACATGAATATAGCAACATGTATCATTATCTAGGTGCAACGTACTATATATCATGTACTACTATATTGTATATGTAGTATTATGTATACTTAATAGATATATAAATACAGACATACATATATATAATATATAATTTATATATACATATCTTACCCTAATATATTATTATAATAAGCAGTGTATCATGAGATGTTGGCTACAAGTTGAACAGCCACAAGGGAGTACCCTCCATGGAGAAGGAGGCTAGAGGGCAAATCAAATGTAGCACGGAGGGAGGTTAGCAACTAACAGGAGTTGCAGAAAGGTGCGACACAAGAAGGTGGCCTAAGAAATCAGACAGCTGTCCATACCTAGAGGCGTTGGAAACTGCCAAGCAAGACTCAAACAGCCTTGGCCAGCCGTTGAGGAGGTACACCAGAGAGAAGGCAGGAGAGATAAACCAGCTACACACACACACACACACGTGTATCTATATAGATACACATATAGATACACACAAGTCAATACTGTAATCAATTTGAAGTTCTTTTATTTGAAGTCATATGTACATTTATTGCATGTCTTGTATGAAACAGAGTACAGATCCCAGGCACAATATCCCCAATAATAAAATACCACAGCTCACAATAAGCTGCAAGTAAAAACTTAAAGTATGATAAATAAAAATTAAACAAATCTGTATTTCCAACAGATGAATGCCTTCTGTCTGTTTATTAGAAGATTAATCTGAAGTCGTTTGTATAATATTGAATCATATCCTGCCAAAATTCTTTCATTTGAGACAGAAATATATTTGCACCAGTGAGTAATAGCCACCCCGAGTTTTGACATTTGTAGGATTAACAGGAGATTACAATGTTTTCAAATCACAAAAATAAATAAAGAAAAATCATAGATGAGGACTAACCAAAACTTTTAGATTTAAAGAAAATCAAATGAAGAATCAGAGCCAGTTTTGATGTGTGTTGCTAGATCATTTCAGTGCTCCTCCTTTGCTATACATAGTGAGAAGATTCAGCGTCCTGTGGGATGAGCCCAGAACTCCCTTAGCACCAGTTCATCTGGATTTCCTGCAGCATTTTTATGCCTCTCTCTCTCTTTCAGAAGACCAGTCTACTAATAGTATTGAAGCCTCCGCCTCCTCCTCCTCCTCCTCCTCCTCCTCCAGATGGACCGCAGCTCCCCGGTGGGTTATTGTCATCTGAACCGTTGGGCCTGAATGAGCAGGAGGATGATGGGGCCTGAAGAGCCTGGGTCCGAGCGCTGAGCTCCTGCTCCTAACGACAGCAAGCAGGGGAGAGAAGTGTTATTTCCAAGCGAGATTATATTTAAGCTTAAACAGCACTCAACTTTGCTGTGACAAAGAAGCAACGCTAGTTTGCGTGTGCTTGAAAGTCCATCAGAGCTTTCGCTGCATGTAATTATAGCACCCCCTAGAGGAGATTTACTGCAGTTGTAATGAAAAAAAAAAGTGTGGTGGAATGTCAACTCGATGGAGCACAGTTCAATGACTCGTGAAATTACTCTTCACATCTTGTAACAGGACAGTTCAGATGTGCAGTTCAAATAAAAAACTCCTACACACTACATCTCCAAGTTATCCGTAAAAGCACGGCCTGCTTTCCCTTCACCTCTTTCCACCTCGGTGACTCTCTGACTTTTATAACCTCGATTCTTAGAAGTGTTAGTGTTAATGAGGCTTTAAGTCATGTTTGTGTAAAACAGGCAAAATAAGCACCATTTCTATCCAAATACCCTCAGAGTTCTTAAACCACAGATTTAATACGAGCTAATCGCTTCACACTTGATTTTATAGGCAGTGACAGTTTTAAAGGGTAACTGAACACCAGTATATGGAAGTGCATTTCATGTGTTCAACCCAACGTACCTGTAAATAGAGCTTGTTGTCTTTGATAATAGCATCCAGTAGTTCTTTCTGCAGAGGAGGCTCGGCACTCAGTCTCATTCCATTTGCCATTAGTCCCCCATTTAAGCTTTGCCCTGGTAGCTCCTGTTTCCTGTACATGAGCACATAAGCGGTGTCCTTGGGGAAGCGATTAGTAATGTTTTGCACTGATTGGAAAGATGTGAACGTTACTCTGCTATCATTGAAGAGCAGCCAATCTTTTGCCTCCTGGCTACTATTAGGCAGCGTTTCGTTTTGTCCACGTGGAAGCGAGGGAGCTGAGCAGGTGTAGAGGTTGGACTCGGCCTGGGCGTTCCCTAAATCCTCTTTGATGCTGTACTGGTTGTCTGGATGCTGTGCCCCATCTGTTCCATTAATATTACGACCATAAGAGTAATAGTGGCCGCTCTCTGACGATATACCAGAATGTATTACGACCGAGCTGAGGACATAGGGGACCGACTGAATCGCCCTGCTCATCTCCTCTGCTCCATCTATCCTTGCCTTCTCCTCTTCCTCATCGTGTTGCGATGATTTGAGTTTCTTGGCCAGATTCTCGCTGCTCTCAGGAGAATCCACTTGCAAAGGAGACGAGGTTGAAGAAGAACACTGTGTAGGTACGGAAGGGTCATGTACAGGAAGTCTGATCAGCGGTGGGATGGTGACATTATCAAGAATCTTCCTACGGACATGGCATTTGGCGTCATATGAAAATCGCAGCAGAGTGAGAATCAAGTATTCAGGGGCAGACACCACTTTAATGGTCTTCTCTGCCCGCTGGAGGGAGCTACACTTCTCGCAGAAATAGGCATTGTCTCCGTCGAGGATTTCCGGAGCCAGAAAATAATTCACCAGGTCAGGCACGGAGAGAGGAGGCTCATTTGTTACTGGCACAAAATGGGCATTGCTAGCTGGAGCTTTGGCCGAGCTTGGCTCAGGAGCTTCGCTGCCACCATTGACAGATCCCTGACAGAGAGCTTTGGGCTCTTCTGATTGCCTTTGTGTTTGAGGGCCATCCTGTAAAGTGGTACCTGGACAAAAGGCCAAAGAGAGGTCTGTAAAAGGTTCTTCTTTCTCAGAGATGCAGTTGCACAGCATACAGCAAATGCTCGTGATTAGCTTCCCTCCAAACATCTTTTCTATCAAAGTCCTTGTGTCATCTCCAGGTTTGGCCTCTGCTAGAGGCAAAATGGTCTGTTCATTGTCTTCCTGAGCAGACGTTGTTGCAGGGTCTTTGGAGCTCGTGTCAGCTGGGGAGGCAGCTTTTGGTTCAGCTGAATCCAGTGCCTGAAGGGTTTTCTCCTCCTCGTGTAACCTTGGGATCAGAAAACACTCAGCTTTTTATTGAAAAATCAAACAAATTAGTGCAACGGCTATGTCTTTGTTTAAACACAGTTTATAAACAGTATTCATACGCAGTTAGCACTCACAATGCTTTATATTCATTAACATTTATTCCATTCCGCTTTCAGTAATGCAAATGATTGACAAGCTATTAATTTAAAATACCTGTCTAAAAGAAATCTGAGGTACTCTGAACAGTCCTGCTGAGAACCCACGTTGAACCAGGGGGGGCGAGACGCTTCCAAGAAGTTTCTGGGAGCATAGGCCGCCCTCTGTAGGACAGATAAACACAAATGAATGAAACACGTTAATATCTGCTGCTGTAGTTCTCCACTAACAATGCTTGTAATTGCTACTTAACAGGGCAACACTAACCTGAGTGTGTGCGAGGAAAGCAAAGAGAAGCTGAAGCTTTTTCATTAGTGTGTTGGAACCGTTTAGATGCAATGATAAAACATGCCTCCTGAAACTGAAGAAAGAGAAAGAAAAGTTGGTTTCATATTTCATTTCACAACAAGAACACCTGCTTTTACAGATTTTATGTGTAAAAGACTCACTCTGTGGCCATAAAAAGGGTCTGGATGATGCTGTTCATGTAGCAGGTGTTCCCCAAGTTGACTAAGCCTGTTTTGCCCGTCTCAGACTTAGCTTGCCTCAGCAGACCAGAGGCAAACGAGTTGGACTGAGACGTCCAGGCACTTTGATTCAACACCAGCTTGATCTTCTCTTCTGCAGATTTTGGTAGATCCTGAAAAGAAAAGAGACGTTTTTAACACAGTAAAAATGCAAAGTAAAAGTAACAGAAAGTCTAACTGAAGCTCCTCATTGCATATCATGTTTCATTTATAATGATCCAAATAAATAAAACATGGACCTGATGTGTTTTGTTATCGTTGAAATATCCAACTACAGAAAGAAGTGGTCTCCCCACTTGGTTACCTTGATGGCCTCCAGTATGTTGTCATAAAGGTCAGGGAAGCCAGAGTACTGATACATCATGCAGTGTATGAGCTCAGTGAACTGCAGCAGGAACGCTTTGCTAGTGGGAAGCCCATCTGTCCTTAAGGACTGAACTAGATCTACTACATGTGGAACAACCTAAGAGAGAGAAGGGAATAAAGAGAAGAGAAAAATGTTGACTACACTGTAGCGCTGAAAACAGCAGAAGGTACAGCTAACATTAATCATAAATATCTGTGGTGCGGTGAGCCACGGGGTGGTTGCACATCAGAAACCCCACAGAGGTCTCATTTGCAGAGTATTTTTGAGCCTATTCATGTTTTTAGAATCTAATGAAATTGGCCAATTCAAGGGCTATTGCTCTGCATTTAAGTGCTTCACACATCATTAGTGAGAGTGTGGTGCCAAGCCCAGAGTTCTGGGAAAAGACGTCTATGCAGCTTTGAAGTAATTTAAGCCAGAAGAGACGAAAATGAGAAAACCAATAAAGTGGCCATACGAGAGGGAAATGGGCTGTGAGGACACAAGAGACCCCCTTACCAAATGGAAGGCCTCGGGAGAGTGCTGGAAACTCAGCAGCATGTGAGAGAGCACGGCCAGCGCCCCCTGACGCACAATGGGGTACCACAGACGACTGAATACCTATGGGTGGAGTTTAAAAAAAAAAAAAAAAAAGTAAATAAATAAAAAAAATCATCTGTTGCGAACATGTTTATTTATAGAGGTGCTTCAGTAAAATGCACACAACTTCCATCTATTAGAAACTCATTGAAGAGTTCCAATTACAAACCAGTTCAATTTTAAGCAGAGTGACATCTATGAGGATAGTGAACTTCTGAACAGCAGCCAGGCCTTTCAGCAGAGCGATGACCCAGGTATCTACATGTTGGGCAAGAGGCCAAGATAACCAGTCAATCATCCTAGATGGACAGAAAAAGGATATGTTAACAGCAAATGACTGGAACAAACCCACCCACTCTTATTAAATAGATCCACAGATTTTCAGTTAAGATAATGTTCAAGCCATTTATACATGCATCCTAAAAACTGTACTTCTCCAGTTGTACAGTACTCTGTTTATAGTAACCATTGTCCATATGTAAATATGTAAGAAAAATTGTGTATGTTTCTGTTCTGTGTCCTGTTTGTTTGTATGTGTCTTTCTGGCTGCTGTTACAACCAAATTTCCCCTTGTGGGACAATTAAAGGATTATTCTATTCTTGTATTTAAATACTGTGGCACTTCTTTTGAACTCAAATAGCTCAGTGTGCAATTTCACCTGCAGAGTGCTTTAGTCATGTTTGCGTCTCTGACGTTCTGGTCTGTGGTGAGGCTCTTGATAAGCACTGTGATCATCTGGACAGGGATATGCTGGACCAGGCTGGCCAGTGCAATGGCTGGGTCAAAGGAAGGGTCTGCGATAATCAAATACATAATGTTAGTTTTTCTTTGTGTTCCAGCGGACACGTGTTGGGATACAAATCACACTTACAGTCTGTAAGAGAAAATAGAAAAAGAAACAAACACTAAGGTTGAACAATATGAAAGTAGAGGTTTATCATCATGAAAACACGATCACAATCATCTATGGTGCTTTATGCATCCTCTATGAAGAGGGGGGATGCTCTGCGGATATTAGGAAAGCATTCCAGGGGCACTGTTCGCCTGAACAATATCAATAAAATGGAGGCCGAGGGACCTTTCAATCCAAAGCGGATCTGCTCACAGAGCTCAAACACATACTGTCCATATAATATTTGAAACAATTTCCTGCTTCAAACCCAGAACATCAATAACATTTAGCATCAGCTACTGCAACTTTGACTTCAGCTGAAACTCTCTCAACTATTAGAAGAGTGAAACTGCCCAAGAAAAAAAGACTGTGTGTGTGTGTGTGTGTGTGTGTGTGTGTGTGTGTGTGTGTGTGTGTGTGTGTG